TTAACATGTTTCAAATTCCTCCAAAAGAACTATAAAGGAAAAGTTCCGTAGTGAGTGTTGTCTAGGAAGGCAGTGTATAAAGGACTCATAGCTTTCTCTACCGGTTTCCCAGTTTGAAGCATATTGAACGGAAATGTGATATGACAGATGTTTATAAAGACCAGCAGACAAGGTTATAATCAGGGTTATTTTGCGTCAATAAATGTCTAGCTCGGTTAGGGAAAGGCATGCCAACTGTAGATGTCACATTAACACTCATGGGTCAGATATAACATTCAACACGCTACAAAACATCGGGATGAACCATCATCATCATCGTCAGATGCACGGGGAAAGCAGTGTGACTTCATGAAACACAGCAATGCAGTGTGATATTAACAAATATAATGGAGAATATCTTATACATGAGTACTTGACAGAAATGCTACAACTTATTGACATGTTTGTGACTGACATATCAAGTATGCGTCGTCCGTTTTGCAGTGTATAGAGCAGAGATGTTCACAAGTCTTTAACTTGGAGTCCGAGTCAAGTCTGAAGTCTTTATCGCTGGAGTCTGAGTCAAGTCTCAAGTCTTTGGTCACGAGTCCGAGTCGAGTCTCAAGTCATTTAATGGCTCGCTAAAAAAATCCCATTCATAATCCTCATGTACTGAAATCTTCCTATTTACGAATCTATTTTATAGGCTATAGACAAAATATATGATCTATGATCTGCTTTGTAAAAAAAAAAAAGGGGGGTTAAGATGTAAGGTTAATGTACATCCAGCCTGTTATGTTTTAATCCATTACCATGTTCAAAACAAGTTTTCTGTAATCAAATTCTATAATAAGAGTCCAATCTACCATGACACAGAAGGAAATATTTGACAGATATTACAAAACCATACAAATAAGTATTTCTTTATGATATAAATCAGGGTATTCAATGAAAGTTCCAAGAGGCATGGCCTCTATAGTTTCCAAGCAGAGGTCTGGACAAAAAAAAAAATTTTTTTTACATGTATTGTATTTTTACATTTAGATACACGCAAGGCCATGTGACAGAATAAAATAGTTTTTTTTTCAGGGTTTTGCTCCTGAAATCTATACTATTTTAATATTTTACTTACAAGCATTATCTAAAACAATGTAGCTACAATAAACAAAACGTTCTCATCTTGAACAAAAAAAGAACGATAACTAGCAGTTTCAAAGTTTAAGTTCTATAGCCATCTAACAACAATTTTCCCAATTATAATTAGGCTACATGATTCTTTTGAAATGTTCTTAGCCTACATATTAATAATGCTAAATCACATCTGACAGATAGTAAGAAAAATAACTATGTGTGCAGCATTGTTGTTTTCTGTTGTGTTTTAGAGAAAATATTCTATAATTTTGGTGTTCACTGTGTTTCTGTTGTTGTTAAAATAACCGCGTCATCCGCAGCTCTTAAACTTGGCGCCGGCGCGCGTCCAGAGAGAGAGCGAGAAGGCGCACGGTGCTGATAGGGCTTGAATAAAGCGCGTTTGGCTTTAGATAAAAATACTAGAGGATATAGCACTGCAAGATATTTACCATAAACGACCCTGAGCGTTTGTTATGTGATCCGCTCTGCTGTTTTGACGTGCTGCTCACTTAAAATAGTGCTGCTGTTACGGCTCGCGGTCCGGATGGATGCGGGGGTGCGGATGCGGTCCGCCTTCTGAATATCAGTTATATAAGTATTTAAAGGAGACATATTATGCCCCTTTTTACAATATGTAATATAAGTCTCTGGTGTCCCCAGAATGTGTCTAAGTTTCAGCTCAAAATACTCCCCAGATCATTTATAATATCATTTTGAAAATGCCTATTTTGAGTGGAAGCAGTCTTTTTTTCGGGCCTGTTTCTTTAAATGCAAATGAGCTGCTGCTCCCAGTCCCCTTTTCCAGAATAGAGCTGCACCATTACAGCTCGGACCTGCTAAAAACATCTGTTTTGGTTCTGATTATCATGTTTATCGCACTGAAATCATGCGTTTTAAACCATATGAGTTTAAACTTCTGATATA